GAATTTGTTCTTCAGTTCCTTGAGCTTAAGAAATGCTGAGCGAGTTCGGCCCTTTTGATTTTCTGACTCTAGCTCCTCGCACATTTCGTTGTAGCACTTTGCTTTGTCATTCTGAGCAGCCTTCCTTGTTTTTCAATGCAGCATAATATTCCATTGTGAGAATATACCACATCTTCTCTATCCATTTGTTGATTGGCTCTTTGGTTGTTTCCAAATCTTTGCTATTGTGAACAAAGCCACGGTAAACATGGGTGTGCATATGTATGCTTGGGTGATGGTTATGGTTTCTTTGGGGTATATTCCAAGCAGTGGAATTGCTGGATCAAATGGTATTTCTATTTGCAACTTTTTGAGAAAGCACCATACTGCCTTCCATAGTGGCTGCACCATTGTACACTCTCACCAACAGTAAATAAGGGTTCCAGTTTCTTAAGGTGAAAGAACTGAAGAACAATTAAAGATGAGAGCTACGTTGGCCTAGTGGAAGGAAGCTGTGCTACCAAGCCGAAGGTGGGTGATTGTCATCTGTGGCCCTCGGCCAGGTTCAAATTGTCTTCCTGTCAAACATTCTTCTAGGTGGTATAGCACTGGTCTGTGCGTTGCTGTACAGAGGTAACTCGTGGTTGCTGTGATGCTGAAGCCTGTGACAGTGATGTGCCAATCGTGGTAATGGGCACCCATGGTGGACAGTGTTGGCTGGAGCTTCCTGACTAAATCAATCCTGGAAGCAGGAGCAGCATCCACTTCCAAAATGGCTTGCCTCTGGAAACTCTGTACGAACAGTGCTCAGGCTGTTCATTCATAGGGTTGCCATGAGTCGTCTACGACTCGACGGCATTAAACAACAACAACAACAATTGGCAGAATACTGAATGATCCAGAAAGTATGAAAAGAATATGGAAGGACTACAGAGAGTACAATGTATCAAAAAGAATTTGCTGAGACATAAGAATTTAATGAAACAACACATGATCAAGGGGCAATGATGAAAAAGCAGAAGTTTAAGCAGCTCTGAAGGAATTGTCAAAAAACAAGGTCCCAGGAATTGATGGAATACCAATTGAAACATTTCAACAAACAGATGCGACCCTGGATGTGCTCACCAGGCTGAGCCAAGAAACCTGGAGGACAGCTACTTGGCCAACAGCCTGAAGAGATCCATATTTATTTGCATTCCTCATAGAAGGTGATCCAATTGAGTGTGGAATTATCAAACAATATCACTAATATCGGAAGCAGAAGTGGCATCCACTTCCTAGACAACATGTCTCTAAAAACTCTATGAACTCTGATAAATGATGATAGTCATAGAAAGGCTTCAGGCCTTTTGTTTATAGGGTCGCTATGAGTTGTGCTCAACTCGATAGCAATCAACAACAGCAACAATATCACTAATATCACACACAAGCAAAATCCTGTTGAAGATTATCCAAAAACTACTAGAATAGTACATTGATAAAGAATTGCCAGAAATATAAGCAGGGTTTAAAAGAGGCTGCGGTACTAGGGATATCATTGCCAATGTCAGATGGATCTTGCTGAAAGTAAAGGTTACCAGAAAAATGTCTACTTTTGTTTTATTTATTGTTTTTGCTGTTGTCATATGCCATCGAATCGTCTGCAACTCATAGTGACCCTATGTACAACAGCTCTAAACCCTGCTCTGTCCTGTGCTAATCTCACTGTCTCCGACATACCTACCCCATTACACCAGTCACTGAATCAATCCACCTCACAGAGGTTCTTCCACTCCTGAGCTGTCCCTCCACCCTCCCCAGCAGGACGTCCCTTTCCAAGGATTGATCCCTCCTTGCGACATGTCCAGAGTATGTCAGACAAAGCTTTAAAATCCTTGCCTCCAACGAGCAGCCTGTATTCACCCTTTCCAGGATGAATCTGTTAATTTTCATATATTCATTACTCTTTTCCAGCACCATAGCTCAAAGGAATCAATTCTCCCTAGTCCTTGTCCAGCTCTCTGATACATATCAAGTGATTACAAAGACCATGGACTTTATCAAGCATACCTTAGTCTCCAGAGTGACATCATTGGTCTTCAGTACTGTGGAGAGGTCCCTAATAGCAGACATTCCCATCATGATATGTCTTTTAATTTCCTGGCTGCTGGTACCAAAAGCGCTGACTGTGGGGCCAAGCAAACTAAAGCTGTTAACAATCTCAATCTCTTTACCATCCATCCTGATGATGCCAATTGGCCCAGTGGTGAAAATCTTTGTCTTCTTGATATTGATCCTCAATCCATATTGAAGGCTGTAGTCCTTGACCTTCTGCAGCAAGCGCTTCAGGTCCTCTTCAGTTTCATCAAGCAGGGTGTGTCATCTGCATAATGCAGACTGTTGATGAATCTTCCACCATTCCTGATGCCACACTTATCCTCCCAGATAATCAGTTTTGCATATAGGTTGAAAGTTATAGAGATAGCATACATCCCTGGCATACACCCTTCCCAATTTTGAACCATACAGTGCTTCCTAACTCTGTTCTGATGATTGTCTCCTGGTTCATTAGCATGATCAAGTGTTCTGGAATTCTTATTCTTCTCAGAGTCAGCCACAGTTTGTTGTGATCCACACAGTCAAAGGCCTTTGCATAATTAATGAAACACAGATAGACATTCCTCTGGTACTACCTGCTTTCAGCCAAGATCCATCTAACATTAGATACAATATCCCTAGTACCATGACCTCTTCTAAACTCAGCCTGGATTTCTGGCAGTTCTCTGTTCAAGTCATTTTTGGATAATCTTTAGCAGAATCTTGCTTGCATGTGATATCAATGATATTGTTTGATAATTTTCACACTCTTCTGGATCATCTTTCTTTGGAATAGGAACAAATACAGATCTCTTCCAGTCAGTTGGCCAAGTGGTTGTCCTCCAGATTTCTTGACACAGCTTGGTGAGCACATCTAGGACAGCATCTGTTAGTTGGAATATGTCAATTGGTATACCATCTATTCCTGGGGCCTTATGTTTTGCCAGTTTCTTCAAAGCTGCTTGAACTTCTTTCATCATCATAGGCTCTTGCTCATATGTTGTTTCATGAAATTTTCCTGTCTGTCAATTCCTTTCAGTACAGTGACTCTGTATACTCTTTCCATCGTCTTTTAATACTTCCTACCCAAAACATCCTTAAGTATAGAACTCACTGAATTTGTTCTTCAGTTCCTAGAGCTTAAGAAATGCTGAGCTAGTTCAGCCCTTTTGATTTTCTGACTCAAGCTCCTTGCACATTTCATTGTAATATTTTACTTTTTCTTCCCATGCTGCCTTTTGAAATCTTCTGTTCAGCTCTTTAATATCTTGACTTCTTCCCTCTGCTTTAGCTTCCAAGCCCTCTAGTGCAATATTCAAAGTCTCTTCTGACATCCATTTTGGTCTTTTCCTCCTCTTCTGTGTTTTTAGTGACCTTTTGCACTCTTCCTGGATGATACTTTTTTTTTTCATGTACCTCCATGTTTATCGCAGCATTATTCACAACAACAAAGAGGAGGAAGCAGCCCAAGTGCCCATCAATGAGATATATTGACACAGTGAGTACAACAAAGGGCCAGCGATTGTGAAGCAGCTCAGAACTGGGCAAAGGTTTGATCTGTGGTCCATGGGGTCACTATCATCCATAGTTTATTTGATGACTCCTAATGGCGAAATAATGCTCTGAAATGAACGTTTCCTAATGTCTCAGGCTAAAGACTGTCCTCTTAACTTTGAGATGATGTTAACTATCTTATCAAACTCAAAATCTTTTAGGTTTCTCTTTGAACTCCTTGATATCTTCCCACAACTCATCTGGTCTTCACTCATTGGTGTTCAAGACCTCAAACCTGTTCCTGAGATGGTTCTGAAATTCAGGTGGGATAGACTCAAGGTCATAGTTTGGCAAAGGTGAATGTGTGGATCACAACAAGTTGTGGCTAACATTGAGATGAATGAGAATCCCAGAATATTTGATTACGGTCATGTGAAACCTATACTTGGACTAGGCAGTAATCGTCCAAACAGAGCAAAGAAATAGTGCATGGTTTAAAGTCAAGAAATGTGTGTGTCAGGGATGTCTTTTCTCCATATCTTTTTAACCTGTATGTGGAACTGACCATTTACGAAGCTAGACTTCATGAGGAGGAATGTGGCATCAGAATTGGAGGAAGACTTATCAATAACCTGTGTTATGCATCTTTATGGGTCCAGTTAACTAGTTGGGTTTTTTTTAATGGGTTTTTTCTTAGATGGAACAATTCATATGTTTCAATTGCTGAGCATTAACCACTGCACCACTGAGCACTTAGTCACTGCACCACCAGGGCTCCTTGGTAGAACCTGTCATTTGCAAGACTGTCTGCCTCTACCCTAAGTTCCTGGTGGCAACCCTCAGGAAGGTCTAGGGGAATCCTTTGCATCCCACATGCTTACCATCATTGATCCTCCCAGCTAAGGACTCTGCACTGAAGCCAGCAAAGACAACCGTGTGGATGGCACCAATCCTGGCACAAGCCAGCATTGCTGCCACAGCCAGTGGAGACACAGGCATGTATATGGCCACACGGTCCCCTCGATGAACTTCATGTCTCTTCAGTGTGTTGGCCAGGCGGCATGTGGTCTCCAGAAGCTCCCTGCAACACAGGAAAGATAGAATGATCAGTAATGGCATCAGAACAAAGATCAGAATTTAGGGGATTAATTCTGAAGCTAGGAGCTCTGATAACTTAGTGGTAAGGCATTGCCATGCTAATCAGAAGGCAGGTTTGAAAATCCACCAAATGCTCCAAGGAAGAAAGATGAACAATTTCTTCTGGAAACCCATGAGACAGTACACAACAACAATACACAATACAGTACAAAATACACAACAATACACAATACAGTATACAATACTGTACACCATAATCCTGAAACTACAAATACTGTATACCCTAGCACCTGGTTTACAGCATGCATTTAAATATCTGTGGAAAGTTTTTTCATGTAAAGTTCATCACCTGAAAGAAGTTTTTGTAATGTTGCAGAATGGTATTGACAGAGATTTATGGCCTCATTGTTGAAGTTTAGGGAACGGCTTCTCCTTATCAGCACCCATAAGTATCCACAGCAAATCCATCATATCATTGAGACAACTACTCACATCTCAAAAGGAAGCCATTTCATAAGACATTTAAGACGGAAGAGTAAGGCTCCAGCTTCTGCCTGTATGAGACCAAGAAAAACTCTTGCCAGTCAGTGGGGCTCAAGAACTTGATCAGCTCCCAGGCTTATAAGGGGAGGGGGCTGAGGATAGTCACTCTCTCTGCATCCTGGGGGCTGTCTGGGAAGTCGTGAGAACACCCCACTTTTCATCAAAAGCCCCTGATTGGATTCCAAGATGGCAGCAGTGGCAGAAACAGCGTGGCAAGCTGTGGAAGCAGCAGACCACATGGAGGAGGGCCACCATGGCCTTCTACAGACCCCTGTTTATTAATAATTAAACAACTGGTCTTCAGTGCACATTGAGACTCAACATCAGGATATTGAGGATTCCCAGGGAAGAGTGGGTGAGTCCCACGGCTCCCAGCCCCCTGCTGCGGAGCCCCTACCACCACTGCTCCATGAGGCTCCCACCACTGGACCCCAGGGATCCCCTCACCTGGGATGGATGGTAGGCACTGGGCCCCCCTGAGGCTAGTGCAGCACAGCCACCACACTGCTGCAGAGTCAACTTTTTCTGGGGAGAATTCTTGAAGCCAAGATGGTGGCAGCGGGAGATGTGGTAGCAGGTTGGGGTTTCCCTGGGTAGGCCAGAGAGGAAGATCACCAATACAATGGATTGATGAGCATCACTGTGAGCTGTCTACAACTTGATGACACTTAACAGTGGCCGCATGTCCAAGATGGCAGATATCCTCAATGCACCATTTCTACTGATCTGTTGACTGCATCTGCCAAGAACTGTTTAGACCTGGGAGGAGTCTGTTCACCACTCTCAGGTCCCCTTCTCCATTTATAAAGGGGGAGGGCAGTGACATCTACTTCAAATTACAGTATGGCCAGTTATGGGGAGGTAATGGTGGCAGTGCCAGAACTGGGGACACTGTCCCTGGCCACATGGTCTTCAGTGAGGTGTGGGGTCTGGACTTGGGGGAGTATTTTGGTGGGGGAGTATGCCAGCCAGCCCCTAGGGTGTGTCACCCGGCCCTCAAGGGGTGCCATCCTGGCCCTCAGGGCGAGCCATTTCAGCCCTCAGGGTAAGCTGGCCCTCGGGGTGAGCTCCTCAGCCCTCAGGTGGTGGCATCCCACCCCTGGGTAGAAAAAACTGCCTAGGGTGTACAGAGAATTTTATCTAGGCTACTTTCCTCCACCCTCTCCCCCAGTACACCCATAAGTAACACCCCGAAAGCCCTTCTATTTGTAACTCACAAGTTTGTTCTCTCTAGGTTTGCTCCCTTTCTTATAGGTAACCTTAACACTGAGTTTTACTCCAGACCTGACCCTGAACCCAGTTCCAGAGACAAAAAGGAAATACAACTGCCAGCTAAGGAAAAAAAGGAGGATGGAGCCTCAGGGTTCAGTCAGCCATCCCCACTGGACCCACCTGGGAAAATACTCCACAGTCCAGAGGGGAGTAAATGTCAGGAACATATCTTCTAACAGAACAAGAAGGCAAGCAGCTTTAACCCAAGACAATCAGTAAGGTCATAAAGTGTGCTCCATTTCCCCCTTCACATCAAAACCCATGTTCAGCATGAAGAAGCCAGAGAGTCTGTGTCCAATTCCCAAATGAGAAATCCACAAGTGAATAAGACAGTTTATTTAATCACCATTTGGACTATGCTTTCCATTGCCCTGTATCATCTGGTCCCCACCCTGGATCCTTTTCATTTCTTTCACCCGCTCCCCCCACCAACCAAATTGTGCAGCCCTGAAACTGCATCCTGCAATTTCATCCCCTCCAGTCCTCACCCTTCTGCTTCCAACCCTCACCTCCTTGTATCCCCAACATGTTTTTCCCAATAAATTTATTTTTTTAAAAGCCCCTGATTGTTCATTTATTACAGGACATGAGAAATGTGGGGTGTTCCAACACCACACAGAGTCGGCAGACTGAATCCTCCCTCTACTCCTGAGGTTACAGAAAGGTTCAGCACATCAGTCATCTCCAAATGCTGGGTGACTGACTCAGAGGTCAGCACGTGACCAAATTTTATTCAACTGGAATTTATAACAGGATTCTGCAGAAACAGGAAGTCAGTCCAACAAAATGGAGAAATCCAGTGGTGTTTGAAACAAGCAGGGCCAGTTCTATCAAAGTTGTTCTAGCACCAAGTCGATCACCAAGGGCTTTGCAACTGCAGTATCCAACCATTTTCCCTTTCACCCTCCATAGTTTGATCTTGACTTGACAATAATAGAAAGCTGGATATGAGAGAAGAGCAGAAACCCTCATTTTTTCTCAGTGTTGTGGTGGGTGGCCAGCATGTTTGCATCTCTGCTATCTGCAGTGACAATTGCTGCTGTTGAGTGCTGTCAAATCCAAGCTGACCCATAGCTGATACTCCAGCAGGTTTTCAGAGGCTGTAAATTGTATGGGAAGAGACTGCCGATCTCTCTCTTTCATTGTGGCTGGTAGATTTGAACTGCCTTCCTTATGGTTGGCAATGCAACTGCTAACCACTAGGCCTCCAACACAGATCTTAATTTGATCATTATAATCCCCTCTGTTTAAAGGTTTGTTAAGGAAAGTGCCCCACCCCCCTTCCTGCCAAAGATGCAGTTTGGAAAGCAGTGTCCTGAAAATAAATGTTCAGCCTCAAGGGGAGGTCTTTGTTTCCCAAAGCCATTTTGCAAAGCAGAGTTGTCATGAGTAAAATCACAAGTTCCACCTCCTGACTTTCAGTGTCTCATGCCAGGATGTCTCTAGCACACTGCTTTTTCTGAGTTTCATCAGTTTTTCTACTTAGAGCTGTCAGAAAAAGGACACAGGTGCCATTCAATGGCACTCACCATATGTTGCTGTACATGATAAAAGAAGGAACATCCTCAGTGCCAAAATTCATGGACTCTGAGGTCCAGAAACACTCCCACCATTCCAAGGGAGAGATTGGAAAGGACAAAGCTGCTAAAGAGCCTCACCAATCAGCAGTGCAGGAGAATAACTTTGTCTCCATACTCCAGCTGGCATTAAGAAAGTATTCTCTTTTCCACCAAATGGAAACTGACAGAAATGGATTTAATAGTCATTTTTAAGTTAAAAAACTCAGCTAACTAATTTTTATACATTCTAGTTTTGTTCAAAATTCCGTTGCAGGAATTATGGAGATGACAATGAATGGGGATGGCAGTGATTGTGAACAAAGAAAAGGGAAAGCATTCTCTTTTGACTGTTCCAAAAATTGGAACAGGATGCCAAGGACAACAGTTAAGGGTGGCTAGTAATGTAATTGGCTTTGGGGAGGATAAGTACACAGGAAAAAAAGGAATGAGGGAATGTACCCCATATCACACAAGTCACCCAGACAATAGCAGTCAGGCTGGGCTGACAGACCAGGCCCATGCAAGCTACACTGTGCTTGCTGCTTACCTTCGATGAACGACCAAATAGTCCATATGCAGCAGGAGCTAGAAATGGGTCTGGTCTGGCTGCTCCCATACTCTTGCTACTAAGCCCAAAGGCATTGTTTCTTAGAAAGACTTTATCTAGACTCTTGGCAAAGGATATTGCATGGCTTGAAATCAAGAAAACTGTGTGTCAAAGTTATATCCTTTCACTATTGTTGTTGTTAGGTGCCACCTAGTCAACTACACTCATAGCAATCCTTATTAACACCAGTTCTGAACCCTCTCCTTTACAGAACTATCCTTATCGTGTCTGATACACTTAAGCCCATTGCTGCAGTTACTGTATTAATCCATCTTGTTGGGTGTTCACCTCTTTCACTGGCCCTCCACTTTTCCATGCATGCTGTCCTTTCCAAGGAATAGACTCTTTTAGCAACATGCCCAAAATATATGAGACAAAGTTTTGGCTCTAAATGATAGGTAGCAGCAAAGGAAATGCTGACAAAGTAACCAACCAGAAACTGTTCTAGACAATGATGTAAGAGTAGCACACCACCCAAGAACCACCAAAAATTGATCAGAAGAACAGACCACCCAAGAACCACCATAAATCAATCAGAAGATATGCACTTCCATAAACTAATTGAAAGCTGTGTTAGTCCGACTCCCTGCTGGATAGAATATGTAAAACTTTGTGTAGGATAGAGATGAGGTCAGTCCTTTCCTGACTGGTGCATAGTTTGTTAAGAACATCTAATAAGCAAGCCTCTTTTCCTTTCGCTTACATTCACTCAATGTCTTTTTTGTATGGTGATGTTCTATCAAAGTCTCACTCTCAAGTCAGAACTTTCTAGTTCTTACTTGAAGAGACTTCTGGACCTCTTTGGAAATCACCCCCCCCTTGACATTTCTGGGGTCTCATCTGGAAAAGAAATTCTGAGGACTCCTGACCACTGAAGACCCAGCTGCATGTGAGTTTTTGTGCTTCCATGCTTCTAAAGTGCACCTGATCCAGGGCATAGTCTTTGCAATTACTTGCTATACATCAGAGAGCTGGATAATAGAAGGAGAATTTATGCCTTTG